CTGTGTACGGATGGTAGAGTACAGGGTGATTGTAATCTGCTCATCTTGCCATTCACAGCACAGAAACTAACAAAAATGCCAGAAGGCACAATGACGTTTTTGAGCCTGAAACCAGCCCCACCTCAGTTACCCCTTTGCTCAACTACAAGCAGCACATTCTGACTTCCCCCAACACCGATGCCTGTCTTTCAGCTACACTTTATGGTTTTTGCGCCATTAATGAAGCTACATTTTCCGGGATCACCTTGAAAACTCACCAATTTATCCTGTAAACACATCCTGTGGGCAAAACGCTCACAACTTCCACCTCATGTTGGAGGCAGCTGGAATATTTATATGGCCCATCGCCAAGTGCTTTACAGCCAATGAAGTAATTTAGAAATCCAGCTGCTGTAAGAATATGAAATGTGGCATTAATTGGCACACAAGAGCCCACAAAAAACAGTGAAACAATAACTATTAGCAACGCTTACTAGGAGGTCAAGAGAAATGCTTTGCTCCTTTGTACCATAGCATCATTTACATTGACCAGAGAGCAGACAGGGCATTGGGTTAAAGTTTCAATGAAAAGACAGCAATTTGTCAGTGCAGCATTGGGCAGTTTGGCTAGATTATGCAATCTTGTAAACTTTAACACAGAGAAGAAAGTGATACCACTGCACAAAGCTGACAACAGGCTCACTGGTAAAGCTCAACTATCAACCACCTCCTGCATTCAAATAAACCGTCAGCATGACCACCCATACTAAAAAATTAAGAAAAATACAACTGACCAAGTTACTGGAAGCCAATCCTGATATGTCACCTACAGGATAAGTGGGAAGAAAACTGCATAAGAACTAAACAAAAAAAAGGTTAAAAAAAGTGTTCCTAGAACAAATGGTTCATAGGAAGACTCTTAAGTACCCAAATACAAGATGAAAGGTTATTTCAGAATGCAGTAACTGACAAAAGTGAGAAAGGACCAAATTCCTCTCAGTCCACAACATCGAAGGCTGGTGCAGTGATTATCGTGAGACATCTTCCACAAATACAGGCATTTTATAAACACAAAACACAAGGTTGGGAAAATGAACAGGTGCCAGATTCAGTCTCCAGCAGAGGAAACATATCATCTTTCTGCAAGCTTGGTTATTCAATGTTCTTATTAATAGGCCGCTTCATTCAGTTTCTGAAGTAAATAATTCCACTTACAAGGAGACTATTTAACTTACACTGGCCCTTAGAAAGAGCAACTCCTCTGCGTTTACTTTTCAAATAACTTTATAATTCCCATTCAAATGCCTCAATGATCCTGCCTCCACTACACTGCACTGCATGATAATGCTTCCCTGATCTTAACCAATTGCTGCGTGAAAACAATTTCAGTCATGTCAGAATTCCTCCCTTTTCCTTAATTGAGACACTGATTTGAACACTTTACTTTATTGCAAGTCATATGTATCACAAGTGGACCTTTTTTTTGTTTCATCTTAATCTCCCTTGTCATTCAGGGAGCTCTGAATTTGTCTGCCCTACTACTCTTGTACACAAGAATATACCTTGACCAAGCCTAACTCATCTTTTCTTTAAAGGCAGCCCATTACTCAGGTACAGATTCAGCTGCCAACCTTTGCTTCCAATTTATCTGCGTTACACCCATTCTTACTCCATTGAAGGTGGCTTTCCCCCCAGTTAATTATTCTTACTCTGGATTGTTCCAAACCCTTCTCCATAACCAACCTAAACCTTATGATAGATCTGGCTCCTATAGTTCTTCTACTACACTTGGTCCACTTCATTCCCAAGAAACAGATCCAGAAATCTCCTCTTTTCTTGGATTGGAAAATGTACTAACGTACAAATCTCCTGAACACCTCTAGGAACTCTTGCATTTTTTTTCTATCCACTACCATTCCAGTTTACATTGGGATAATTAAAGTCTTTTATTATAATTAATCTCTCAATTCCCTAATCTCCTTGCATATTTGTTCCTCTACATCCTTCCCACTAGTTGGTGGCAATGCTCACTGTTAAACTGGACACAGGCCAGATGGTGAAGTATGAAAGGATAGGGTTTATACACAGGATAAAGCTTTACAGATCTCTGCCTCCTGACTACTACCTCAGTGAACCAGCTGTTGCCCCCCACCCCAGCCTTTACACAGGCAATCAGCATTGTTTAGTTATCTTTAAAAACAATCAAACCGTTAAACCCGAGTGTTTTCATAATAGAAGTTACACAACAGAAATAGCAGGCAACAACTGTGATGGAGGTGAAAAAAATGAGGTAAATAGTATCAGGAAAAGTACCAGAGAAACTGAAGGAACTAAAATTCAATGAACCTTCAGGTATTGCCCATAGTGTTCAAGGATGTGTAGATTAGGTGGGTTATAGGGGGATGGGTCTGGGTGGAATTTTTGAGGGTCGAAGGGCCTGTTTCCACACTGTAGGGATTCGATGACGATGATGATGACGATGATGATGATCAATAAAGGCCTACATCCTAAGATGCTAGACACAGTGAATGCACTGGTGTGCAAGCAAAATTAAAGTCCAAAGTCAGCCATGAATGTAAAAAGACTTGATGTGCCAAATGGTTTACTCTAACTTATGTGTCTTCTATCCATGTTTGGAATTAATTTTGTCATGTATACTGATAACGTGCAGTTATGTACCACTAGTGGAAACAAAATATCTATATTTTTAGTAAGTTATTACAGGTAAGAAAGGAAGGGTAAAGAATCGTACCCCTAGTCAATGTCTGGTCAGAGCTAGTCCACAAATTACAAGACTTGTTAAATTCAATTTAAATTTACTATATTGGCATTTGAACTCACAACCTCCAAGCTGCAAGCTCTGTACTACAACTGTATCGATACCACAAGATAACGGCAATTATCAGAGATTGCACCTTGTACTTTAGTCATTTGGGAGAAGAAAAGTTGAAATGGTACCAATGCTTCAAGACATGGATATTTTGTTCTAATTTGACAAGCTGAAAAATAGGAAGTGCTAAGGAATCGTATTCTTCGATTTGATAGCAAATATGGAAAAAGCAACATTTAATGTTTCAGCTGGAGCACTTTCTTTACCCAAAACAATTCTGCAAACAGCGAGGAGCATAGCTGAGTTATTTCTTCACATCAAATGATTAAGCCAAGAAGCAGCGAGAGACCCAGTAAATCGGGGAGGCAATGGCCTGGTGGTATTATCACTGGACTGTTAATCCAGAGACCCAGATAATGTTCTGGGGACCTGGGTTAAAATCTGGCCATGGCAGATGGTGGAATTTGAATTTGAATTCGAATTCAATTTTTAAAAAAATCTGGAATTAAGAGTCTACTGATGACGATGAATTCATTGCCGATTATCGGAAAAAACCCACCTGGATTCACTAATGCCCTTTAGGGAAGGGAACTGCCATCTTTACCTGGGCTGGCCTACATATGACTCCAGACCCACAGTAATGTGGTTGCTTTTGTATGCCCTCTGGGCAATAAATGCTGGATTACCCAGCAACTCCCCACATCCCGTGAATGAATAAAAAAAAAATACATGTGGCTATCAAAGAGAAAACATTACCTGGGAACTGGAGACGAATCTCTGGGTCAAGATAGAAGAGAACTGCAGGAGGTAAAATGACTTGATAGTTTTTAACCAGTTCATTGCATTTATTCAACTGACAGTTTTTTTTGTTTCAATATTTATGAACTGGAGTAATAAACTGGCTCACCATTTTTAAAGTGAACTATCTCTCACAACACATACTAAAATGAGACATAGTACTAGTGAAAAGGTGCCAAGTTCCTTTGATATCTGGGTGAAGAACTCTAGGTTCTTGGGTAATTCTTAAAAGGTGCAAGGCCTGAATGTATTTATTTCGTTTGCAGACATTGTTTTGAATAGGTCACATTTAGCAAAATAGGTGAGCCACATTACCCATGTGTTTGATTGCCTTACATTGGCTGTTAGTGTCACTATTGACATATCCAGAATCACATCCAACAGATAAATGCTGTGTTTCAGTTTTCACAAATGTGGCCTTATGACTTTTTTGAATTATTCGGGAACTTGGAGAATCAAAGGTTTCCCATTGCTTTGGTGACTCAGCTAATCAGAACCGACTTGTCAATTGATCAGCACTTTTTTTTTTCCTCCTGTGGTGTAAACTGCTGTGATAATTTTGAAATCTGACATTCTTGCAACTGCCCTGATGATAGCAAGACAAAAAGCTAAAGCAACAGGTCTTGTTCTTTAGGTAACATTCAAATAACAGACGTACAATTCAACCAGCACTATATTTGCAGCACTTTTGTCACATCTAGCTAACCACCCAAGCTGGTAATTATTAAAATTACACTAGGAGTCCAGTGGCACAGTATATAGCATCCTTACCACTTCTGGCCAGAAACTCGAGGTCAAGGCCTACCTTAGGACATAATGGCCACAGAACCGGTATCATAAAGCAGCCACACAGGTTGATCAGCAATCTGAAAATCTTTGTAACACAAGGCAGAAAAGTTTCCTGATCAGCTACAAATGAGAGATAGGTGTTGTACCACACCCTCCCTAAGTTAAAAAGAGATTCCACAGACACTAGCTCATACTCATTCGGACAACTGGTACGGACACAACCACTTAAATGGCCTGAAAACAAGAAGTGCTGGAGATCACAATGGGTCAGACAGCGTTATGGAGAGAAAGCAAGCTGGCATTTTGAATCTAGATGGCTCTTCATCAGAACTGGTTAAATGGCCTACTTCTATACTGAAACAATCCTGTAATTCTATAAACAAGTGTATCCACACTCCTAAAGACACGTTACACTGTTAGTGACAAGATCATTGAAGTATTCAGATGGACCCTGAGCTAAGCGGTTTCACAGTGCCACCCCATGGCTACAGTCTGCAACTGCAGCGTGACAGTTGACATAGTAAAAATAGAAGATAACAATGCAGCAACAGGAAGTTTCAGCTGGAGATTTTTCAGATGTGGACACTAAACCGCTGTCACTCACCGAAGACGTAGACCACCGCGAAGGCGCTGCCGGCCCCCAGCAGTCCCGCCAGTCTCAGCACCATTTTCTTGGCATAGGCTGCGTTTTGCTTCTGTTTCTGCTCCTGGTCGGCGCCCGTGTCGCTGCTGCCAGCCCCTGGCTCCCCACTGCCAGCCTCCTCTTTGGCCCGTTCCTGCTGCTGCAGCTTCTCCTGCAGGATGGCATGAGCCAGGCCTCCCGCCCCGGCACCGCTCGGCCCGCGGCCTCTCTCCGTCGACAGCGTCCGACACGCCGGCGAAGAGCCGAGTTTTACCTCACAACTTTTCAACGCGGACCTTTTGCGACTGGTTGCAGGCCGGCAGCGTAAGATTTTCCTGCAGAGGTCCAGCGTTGAGCGGCGACACATGCAACTGAGCGACGCCGCCATCTTGAGCCGATCTCCCACCCCTTTCACCCTCTCCCTCTCAACCAAACTCACATTTTATCTGATTGATGTGGGGCATGACCAAACGGAAAAGGAGGCGCTAACGCACGGCGACGTCGCCTAGCCAATCAAAGCCACGATAGGGAGGACCTGACAGTCAGCAAGATCGGTTGATTTTCGTGTTTTTTTCCCCCCACCCCCGAAGCATGCCAAAGGTCATCACAGTAGGCGGAGGAGGACAAATGAATCCTGAAAGGAAATACAAAACCCGATTCAAAATACCTGTGAAATCAGGGAGAAATGTAGGAAAATAACTCTAACAGAGACTTATTTCTTTAACAAAAAAGGAACAAAACATGAACACTACTGCTTTCACATGAATGGCAAATTTAACAGGGACAATCCATTTCCACTGTTCAGAGAATTTTTAACTGAAGAGCATCAATTCAAGGTCATCTTCAACTGAGCAAATGACATTTATTATGCAGAGGTTGAAGAAGCAGAATACGTATCAGTTTTGGAAGGGGTTAGGGTAAATACTTGATAAAGAAACATGTGAAATAATATAGCAAAAGGACTGAATTTTTTTAATATATTCATCAACCAGATATTTCCCATCCCTAGCTAGCCTTGAGCTGCCCTCTTAAATCACTGCAGTCCAGCGCTAGAAACATACAAACTTTTTTGAACCTTCGATTCAAAATGATCATGAATGATCATCTACCTCAATGCCATATTCCTACTTTCTGCCCATATCCCTCAATGCCTTTGAAACATAAAAATGTATCTATATTTCCTCTGTCTGGCCTGCTGTGTTCCTCCAGCTCTACACAGTATCATCTCTGACTCCAGCATCTGCAGTTCTTACCATCTCTACCTTTCTTGAAGATATTCAGTGACTTGGCCTCCACAGCCTTCAGTGACAGTGAATTCCACAGGTTCAATGAAGAAATTGTTCCTCATCTCAGACCTAAATAGTCAACCCTCGTAGTCTGATGCTGTGACCCCTGGTTCAAGACTCCCCAGTCAGGGAAAACATCCTCTCTGCATCAAATATGTCTAGTCCTGTTGGAACTTTACATGTTTCAATCAGATCCCCTCTCATCTTTCTAAACTCTAACAGGCCCAGTTGAACCAATTTTTCCTTATTGAGAGTTCCATCATAACCAGTAGCAGCCTAGTGAATCTCCACTGCACTCCTTCCATGGGAGTATATCCATTTTTGGGTGAGGAGACCAAAACTATGGTGTACTCCTGCTGTGGTCACACCGAGACCCTGTATGGCTATATTAAGACACCCCTGCTTCTGAACTCAAATTCTCTTGCAATGAAAGACAATGTACCATTTGCTTTCCAAATTACCTGTTGCACCTATTCATTGACTCAAAAACAGGAATTGCTAGAGACTCAGCAGGTCTAGCAGCATTCGTGGAGAGAAAGAGAATTAATGTAGAGTCCAGTTCTTCAGAACTCTCATTTATTGACTGACGTACACAGATACCCAAATCCCTTTGTACATCCATACTTCCCAATAGATGATCATTTAAATAATATTCTTGCTTTCTGTTTTTTACACTGAAGTGCAAAACTTTGCATTTAGTCATGTTATATTGCATTTGCTTAGATGTGCTCATATCTTAAAAGTCAGACTAGGCTTGACATCAAATGACAATGCAGTGGTTGAGTTTGCCGAGTGCTTGCTTCAGTCAGAAGGACATTGGGTTAATTCCCAAACAGGGGACTTGGGCACAAAATCCTGGATGACACTCCAAGTGTAACAAAAACAGAAAATGTTAGAGAAATTCAATAGGCTCAGCAATATCTCTGGAGAGAGAAACAGATACAATCTTTCAAATCCAGTGTCACTCTTTCAGACCTTCACTCTTCCTCTAATTTTAGGACCTGAAACGTTAACTATTTCATTCAACACACATTTTATTTCATATCTCCTGTATCAGCAGTATTTCCAAGTGTAATACTGAGTGAATACTGTTGGAGGTACATCTTCTTTCTTAGAAGGCAAGCCAAGCACAATATGGTCATCTATTGCAAGGGAAATGGAAAACTAAAGTGGAAATGTTTTGCTACAGTTGTATAGAATATTGTTGGGGCTATACTTAGAATGTTGTGTAGAGTTTTGATCTCATTTAAGAAAGGAAGCAATGTTGGAAGCAATTCAGAAAAGGTCCACTCAATTGATACCTAGGATGAAGGTGTTTTTTTGAGAGGAAAGATTGGACAGGCTGTGCCTATCTCCACTGGAGTTCTGAAAATAAGATGATCTTATTGAAACATATATGACCTGAGAAGTCTTCATAAGGGATATGTTAAAAGGATGGTATTCCTTGTGGGAGACACTAGAAATAGGTCTTCCAGTTCAAAAATAAGGGGTTTACTTTTCAAAAACAGAAACTAGGCTGAATCTTTGGAATTCTCTTCTCCAGGCCACAGGGGAAGAGAGGTCATTGAATACTTTTAAGGCAGAATAGGTTCTTGACCAACAAGGGAGTCAAAGGTTAGGGTAGAGACACAGCAATGTGAAGTAATCAAATCAGCCAAGATGTTATCAAAAGAGATAAGATTGAAGGGCTGAGAAGCCTATCCCTGTTCCATTATGTGTCAAATGAAGCATTAAACAGAGGTCTTGTTTACTGTCTCAGATGGTGATAATATGTTCAATAGCATTATTTTGAAGAATGCTGGTATTATCCCCAATGTCGTGGCCAATATCTATCCCTCAATGAACACACATTACTCTGAAGAGGTCATATCTGACTCAAAACCTTAACTTGATTTCTGTCTCTACAGATGCTGTCTGATCTGTTGATCTTTTCCATTACAATTTAACATTAAGTTAATGGGATCTTGTTGCATCCAAATTAATATCTGTACTATTATAGCCAAATTAGCAATAAGAAAATTAATTGGGATGTACTGAGGTTGTGAAAGGCACTATAAAAATGCAATGAGGTCTTAGAGTCAACTTCTTTTAAACCTAGTTTCTTTCGTTTTGCCTTTCCCAGCCACTATCCCCATTTAATATCTGGCTCCAGTGCTACGTGCATCATCATTTAACACTAACATAGCCTACTACCCAGGCTGTGGAATTCCCTTAATAAATTTCTCATCTTCCACTGAGCCCACACCCAAATGTCAGGGAGTGAAGACTGCCAGACTTGATTCTGATGCCATTCATCAATTGAGTAGCCATCCGGCACAAACTGTTTAGGATCACATGAAGGATGTGAACGTGACGAATTTCAGATCAGCCATGATCGAATTGAATAGCCAAGCAGGCTCAAGGGGCTAAACTGCCTACTCCCATTCCTATTTATTATGGTCTTAATTCAGTCTTAAACTTGTTCATATCCCTACATGGTCTCACCTCTCTCTATCGTCTCAAAACTGACAATCCATTAAGAACTGTGTTCCTCCAAATTTGACCTTAATTGCATTCCCAACATTCTTCAACCCAAAATCCAGCTCCCCTGCCAACTAAATTGCAAATGTACCTAGGCCTTATGCTCTGGAATTTAGATATTTATTTCTACGTCTCTTTCCCCCTTCTTTAAGAATCAGTATAAAACCTCTCAAACTAGCGCTTTGGTCCACTGTTTGTCACTTTCATATCCTTTGGCATGCCACAGAAAAGGTGGTGCCAGCACCAGTAAAACTGTCCCCCAAATGAGTAGCCAAAAACATAACCCTTTTGGTTTTTCATCTTCTCTGGTCCCCCAGATCACAAAGCACCCGGAATCAAGAAGGTACAAATGCCTGGTTCCTCTCAGGACCTCCTCACAATATAGAATGCAGTGGAATTGGGAAGCAATTCTGTACCCACAACACAGTATCTTGCCATGTTTCTGCACCATGACCCAACATCACTCATTCCAAGAGTGCTCTTAAGTAGATTATTCTAACTCCAACTAAAGATTTTGCAGGCTTTTACAAGGTTTGTCATGACCCATTATTCACTTTTTCTTTGGAAAATCAGTAATAAGAAAGTAATCTTAAAGTCAAACTTGTTAACCAGGTGGGACGCAAGTCTGGTGTGTACATCCAGACTGTTGTGATTCTTCCCCTAGCCTCCCAAAGGAATAATTGGATAAAGGCATCACTTATCCAGCAAGATTTAGAGCCACAAACCAGCTAGGTCCAAAATTTAATTCCCAGTGAGTGTGGAATTGATTTCACCTGTAATTTCATCAATATTCAATGGCCAAAGAAGGTGGTAGATCTTGGATTTTAGGTTTCTGATTACTTTTCATGGACTCCCTCCTGGAAACTGCATCCATATTAATGTCAGGCAGTGATGTAGTACCAGTCTTAGGATAAAGGTGTCAGTCATTTCAGTCTGGGATGAGAAACTTATTAGACATTTGTGAATCTAGGAAATCCTCAAGCCTTCCTCAGTGAGAGCTCAGTATTAGAGTAAAAACATGGCTAACATTGAGATTCCGAAGCACCAAGGAAATAAAGGATCACAGAATTGGGCTGTAGGATCAAGGCAGACATTTAGACATGACCTCACTGAATTGTGGAGTAGGCTTAGCCTATTCATACTTCATTCATCATAAGAACAGAGTAGATACTCCTCAGTGTGCACAATCTAACGAATGACCTGTTACAGAATTGGATGATAAATCACTGATGTGGAATATGAACTATCAAAATGCAGAAGAGGCTACCAGCATGGAGAACAATATCTGAATGAGAATGAATAGTTTTGCAAAGGAAGCTGGAGAAATCTTAAACAGCAGCCCTCTGCATGCAAGTACAACACTCGTTTTTTTAAGATCTGCAAGTCTTTTTATTGACTCCATTCAAAACAAAAATAGGTTTATAAGCTCAAATATTGGCCATACAGTGATATTTCCAAACCACAGAAATACACTTTACATCAGAAGGAGACATTCAGCAAACTAGACAGTGGAAGCAGATCTTAGCAGTGGCCATTGTAAAATAACAATATCTTAAACATTCTCTTTTTGATGCATCGAACAGGACTGAGCATTTGCAGCTGGTCCAATTTCACAAGTGCACTTCAAACTAACATACCAAACTAAGATGGAAAACCTCTGCCCCATGTTTAAGATCTTTGTTGTATAGGAGAGAACTTGAGGATCGTTGAAAAAAAAGGACATTTTATTGAAGCCTATGATCTTGCAGACATCAGAACAATGTACAAAACATACCAAAGTAAAGGGAAAACAAAAGTGCTGATTGGTTGATAAGTGCACTCAGATTGGTAGAGCTGTTGCCATGGCAAATGTACCAGTTAATGACTGACTGACTGTTAGCTGCCAAGCTTTGTTTAAATTTTAAACAAGGTAGGTTGACTTGATTGATCAAAGTTTTGCCGTAATAAACCAGAGAAAGACTGTCACCTGTTTTGTTGAGTTGAATCAGGCACATGATGATGTTTTTTCCACTGCAAATAGGATCCTGTATAATAATGCATGAAATAATGCTAATACATGCAAGTGCACCATACTGTGAGCCACAGTAACATTGTAAATTGGTTGTTGGCATAATTCACAAACTCAGTTTGTGCTTGCACACTCACAGCACAGTGCCCAATATTAGAAGTGATTCAACAAATAGAAAACACTTGCTATATACTTTCAAGTGTGCAAAGCATTAACCTTATAACCAGCTTAGGATTGTCCGGAAGTTTTGCAGTACAGCACACTTGCATATACTGGAGGATATATATATTAGTCACAATCCACTGGCCAAACAATCAGCACTTCCCTCTTATACAATATGAATGTTGGTTTCTCTTTTGGTATTTTGGAATTTGTCTTGATGAATGTTAGACAAAATGTCTTTAATTCAGCTACACTCAACCTCTTATTTTTTAATCTTATTCTTATTGAAAATTTGGGCAATATTATTAAGTTTAAACAATGTCAGCAGTCCTCTGATACTTGGGACAATTATTCTGTATCTTGATCTCATGATGCTGAATGTTTGACTGACATGGAGTTTGAACCAGGCAATTTACAGTGGATTTTTTTCCCAATTGACAGTATAATGAACAAACTTGTTTTTATAAATCATTGCTCCAGAAATATTACGAACACTGTAGATGAAGAAATCTCAAGTAGGTTCAGTGTTTTTATGAAACTAGTCAGCTAGATTTTCTTTTTGGTGAATTCAGAAACTTTATGACATAGTCTCTGTATACAAAAATTAAAAATCCATTCACACTTCTTCCAATCTGAGTACAAGACTCCTGCATAGTATACATTGTGTGTCTAAGAATCTTTGTGCAGCTTTGGAGGAGTCCAAGTTGCCCAGCAATATCCTCCCTCTCCAAGATTCCAACGGTTCTCATTGCCTCTGTGATATAACCAAATCATCCCACTCCATCCTTTGTTGTGGCTTTGCATCTTAACTTTTAATTAAACACTGAACAGTATTGGTTAAGCAATGCATTAAATCTCATATTTGGGCCATGTACATTTCTCCTGCATTCTAGGCAGCATCAAATGATAAGGTATACAGACAGTCTGGTAACCCAACATCGCAATGATGAAAAATCAGAATAACTCTCATTGTTCTGTTGAAACTTCAGCAGAATTCCACAAACAATGGACCTCAAGGTATGGGAGAAAAAGAGACAACTGACACAGGCAAGGCCAGCATAACAGCTGAATTGGCTGACAAAGCAGAAGACCCAGATCAGTTCCTCAGCCTCCAGGGTGAAGGAGAATGTGGACCGAGAGCAATCACGTGGCTCACACACTTGCTGCCCACCATTCAGGGAGAGAGAAACGGCAGACAGCTTGCGGGGGAAGAACATTTCCATCATGTGAGTGAAAATAGGCACCAGAGTGCAACTTATGACACCTGCAAATTCTGCTCTGGCCTGAGAAACAAGCAATCTTGAAAATAATGCCACTACTACATTCTAAATATTTGTGGGGAAGAGAATGCCCAGTGCACAAAGTGTGGTGGAGGCAGCCGATGGTTTCAGATCGCTGTCACTGCAAGTCTCCAGCATAACTGGAGAGAAGCAAAAGAAACAACGAATTTCAACAGACAATAATTTCCAGGCCCTTTACCTTTGACTCACCCAAATGCTGAGAAGTAGGGGATTCAAATCTAACTGATGTACATTCTCAGTTTCAACTTAGTTTAATACGTCCAATTCTGATTATTCAATGCTCCACTGCCCTTAAACATATTTCTGGCCAGTCATGGTACGACATTTTAAACCGGTCAACTTGACTGAAACTTAATGCAATCAGAGGAGAGCTGGAAGAATAAACAGCACATCCAGAGAGCGAGCACAAGGAACAACTCTTATGCAGTCTGAAACCCTTAGAGATTTGCCTTTGAAATGTGAAAATGGAATATCCTGTACTAAGTTAATTTCAAAGGATCCTTCAAAAGCTTTCAAAATAAATGCCAAAGTAAAAAGCTTCCAATAATATAAATTTACAAGCTGCTTTTTTTTTTTTTAAAAATAGTTGCAGTAATTTTTGTCAAAGCAGTCTATTCTTTCATGTGACTTCTCACATCTGTACAAACACCTTTTTGTATAAAAATAGCCTTCAGTATCATCCCGTAGGAGTGCTATTCAATTGCTACAAAAGTATTCACTGCCTCCAAGCCTCACATTTACAAACTCAGTTACCTGTTCACACACAAATCATTCTCCATGTTGTGTTTAATTTAAAAAAAAACAAATGCATCTATAACCCATTTCTTGCATCAAACAACTTTCAGAAGGAAAAAAGAACCTCCTTTGCTTTTTGTAGTCAAATTAATCCACATTCATTCTTTTGCTCAAACAGTTGTTTGCTGCTGTTTTTGATCTTTTGAACGAACCACTGCTAACACCTGGCCACAATAAGCAAGACATTATCAAAGCAAGAACACAAAAGGGAAACCTAAAAGTCTGAACAAAAACTTCACAGAAATTTTACTTTCGACTATATACATCTTTGCCAGAGGGTGTTGCACTCAATGCCCCTTCTTCACTGAGGATCCCAAGAAACCTCAGGTTGAGAATCTTTAGCTGGTCATCCAGTTCCATTCGAACAATTCCATCCTCACCATCAATACTGAGCAGCATACCTGTGGCTTCCCGATCTTCACCTAGAATCACCTTCACCTACAGATAAAAAAATGACGTACAGTTGAAGTATCTGCGGTTTTCTGGTAACCCTAAAGAGATAGGTAACCCTATCTTTTTAATTAGTGCAAAGTACAAAGCTTCACAGCTCCGAGATCCAATCCATAGCGTCTATCATGACCAGCTGCTGTAAGGGCATCAAAATGGATAACAGGTCCCCACAAATTGACATGTTGATTTGACAACTTAGTGTCTTCTTAATAAGATTGCATTAAGATTCTAAACTACCACAGGAATCCAAACAAGAACATACACTGTTTTATGATATTCTTCTCTCAAATTTTTGTTGTGAGGCTTATTACATTTGGAACAATGGTCTTAGAAAATACAGAACATGGAAATTCACGTTCCAGGATAATAGCCCAATTCTACAAATGTAAAATGTGTTCTTTGAATGTAAGTTCTTTCTTTCTAAGTCGTTGCTGGAAGTACAAGTTTAATACAATAAAAGATATTCAGAAAAAGTTTCGTGAATCTTACTGGGATACAAGGCAAGATTTTTGTGGGGAGGTACTGGTGTAGTGGTAAAATAACTGGACTAATAATCCAGAAACTCAGGCTAATGTTCTGGGGCATGGGTTAAGATCGCAACATGACAGATGGTGAAATTTGAATTCAATTAAAAAAAATCTATTAAGAAGTTTGCTTAATGTTGACAATGTAACCACTGTCAATTGTTGTAAAATCCCATCTGATTCACTAATGTTCTTTATGGAAGGAAATTTATCATCCTTACCTGGTCGGGCCTACATGTGACTCCAGACTCTAAGCAATGTGGATGACTTAACAGTCTTCTGGGCAATTAGTTACGACAATAAACGCTACTCTAGCCAACAAAGCCCATACTGTCTGTGCACTCTGAAGCCAATATAACGGGCAATCCACTCCTTAACATCTCCCCACAGCACAGTCATGAAAGTCAGATCAAAATAATGTAATCGTCACTAATCAAACTCATTTACTTGATGATTTACCTTCTCATTGATTGACACATAACTCTCTCAGTTTTGTACAAAGGTGTTCAGTAGTAAGCCATTTCACAAGTTGTTAAATAGCAGAAGGAAAGAAGGAAGCCATTAAAATTAGCAATAAAAGAGCAGCATGATGCATTTTTTTTTTAAATTGAAGGGCTAGTTATAGGGATGTCTTCCTGCTTGATAAGTGATCCAGAAGACCATATCAGACTAACTAGAGCGCAACTAGACATGACCACACAACCGACCCCCCACCAGGACACAGTCAATAACAAAGTTATTCTGGTAATGCAATACACTTCAAACAAATTGGTATTTCTTTTCAAAAACTAAGGTTCACAGCAGGTTTAGATACCATGACAAACTATTCTCAAATTAATATAATTACATTAGTGAAACGGAATCATGGAATCAAACAGCTTTTGTACCAATAGACGAAACAGGCAGTCAGTGCTGAAGACCCCACAGCTGTCCCCCTATCAAACAAGTATTCCGTTTTCAATACGGATGGCCCTGCAGGTGACAGCAGCAGCAACCAGAGCAGTGACACATTGGCTGACCCTGCTGTACAGAAGTGGGACAAAGCACAATACAGCAATAGTAATTGGAGGTTCAATAGTCAGGGGCACAGATAGGTGCTTCTGTGGCCATGAGACAGCCTTCAGGATGGTACGCTGCCTCCCTGATGCCAGTGTCGTGGATGTCTCTGGGCAGGTACAGAGTATGCTGGAGGGTAACCAAACCAAAGTCATTGCCCATATTGGCACAAATGATATAGGTAGGAAGAGTGACAAGGTCAAGCAACAACAATTCAGGGTGTTAAGTAGTAAACTAAAAAGTAGGACTGCCAGGGTAGTAATGTCAGGATTACTCCCCATGCGACACGCTGAAGGTAGGAACAGAGACAGAGTAAAATTGAACATGTGGCTAAAGAGCTGGTGTAGGGGGAAGAGCTTCAGATATGTGGATCATTGGATGTCTTCCAGGAAAGGCGGGAGCTGTACAAGGAGGTCCTAAACCGAAAGGATACTAATATCCTGGCAGGGAGGTTGATAGTGCCACGCAGGAGGGTTTAAACTAGTGTGGCAGGGGGTTGGGAACTGGAGCAGTAGGTCAGCAAGTATAGAGACTGAGGAAGAGCTTGAGACTAAGGCAAATATAGGTAAGGGGAAGAGCAATAAGGAAGAAGTTGTCAGGCTCAGTGGAACTGGAAGCTTGGACTGTATATGCTTCAATGCAAGCAGTATAACAGGTAAGGCAAATGAACTTACTGCCTGGATTAATACATGCAATTATGATGTTGCTGCTATCACAGAAACAGGGACAGCGATTGTCAGCATAATGTTCCAGTATATCGATGTTTTAGACAAGACAGAGGAGGAAGCAAAAGAGGTGGGGGAGTTGCATATCAGGGAGCATATCACAGCTATTTAGATGGAGGACACCCTGGAGGAATCTTGCAGCAAGACATTACGGGTAGAGCTCAGGAATAGGAAGGGTGAAATCACAATGCTGGTTTGTACTACAAGCTTCCCAGCTGCTAGCTGGAGATAGAAGAGATATGTAGTCAGATTCTGGAAAGATGTGAAAATAACAGGTTTGTTGTGGTGGGTGATTGTAACCTCCCCAGTTACTGACTGGGACTCCCTTAGGGCTGGGGGTTTGGATTGTAAGTAATTTGTTAGGCATGCCTTGGAGGGTTTTATTTGAAACCATATATGAATAGTCCAATGAAGGAGGGGGCTATATTGGGGTTTCTGAAATTTCTGAAGAAGGTTCCCAATCTGAAAAGTCAGCTTTCCTGCTCCTCTGATGCTGCCTGGCCTGCGGAGTTCCTCCAGCTCCACACTGTGTTATCTCTGATTCCAGCATCAGCAGTTCTTTCTATCTCTGATACAGTATGCTAGCCTTCTTCGGCCGAAGTATCAAATATAAAAGTTGGCAAGTTATGTTACAGCTGTAACATCTTTAGTTAGGCCACGTTTGGAATATTGCACGCAGTTCTGGTTGCCACAATACCAGGGGGATGCAGATGTTTTGGAAAGAATGCAGAGAAGGTTTACCAGGATGCTACCTCGCCTGGAGGGTTTTAGTTATGAGGAAAGGTTGGATGAACTCGGATTATTTTCACTGGAAGAACGGAGGCTGAGGGACAACGTGATAGAGGGTCCACAAAACTATGGGAGGCATATGTAGGGTGGATAGTCGGAGGTTGTCTTTCCCAGGGTGGAAAAGTCAACTACAAGAGGGCACAGGTTCAAGGTGAGAGGGGGAAAGTTTAGGGGAGAAGTACAGGGAACATTTTTCACACAGAGGGTGGTGGGTGCCTGGAACACATTGCCAGTGGTGGTGGAGGAGGAAGCAGGCATGATGGCAATGTTTAAGGCATATCTTGATAGACACATGAACGGGAGGCAAACTGAGGTACCGAAACTGTGTATAGGCAATAAGTAGCAGGGCTAAATAAGAACTAGGATTTGACACAGGCTTAGTGGGCCGAAGGGCCTGTTCCTGTGCAGTATTGTATTGTACATACCAAAATACATAATTTTACTCACAAAATGTCAGTCCAAAAGTTATCCCTATCAACATTTATTTGCATGAATTATATTTTTATGAATTTCTTGGAGTTCAAGTGGTACTAATGATGAGCGGTGAGGTGGTTTGCAATTTCAAACACTTCTAAGTTTAGTTTGATGCAGAGTAAACATTTCTCTGACTCTTCTGCAACAATGAACTCGAAAAACCTATTCTGACTTCCCATTCAATTATCTTCTTGTTCTTCAGAATTTTTAAACAATTAAAACCTAATTAAGGCTAGCTCTTAACTGACAAATTGTATCCACATTGATTGAGACAGAAGAAACTACTTCACATCCAATTCTTATAGCAAGATGAAAGAGGATGCTTTCATCCCCGTTGATCTGAGCTTAGTTTAAGCAAAATAATGCAGATTTTGGTGAAGTGAACATGGGCAGGACTTATGCAGTTAATGGTAGGGCCCTGGGTAGTGTTGTCAAACAGAGACACCTGGGAGTTCAGGTACATAGTTCTTTGAAAGTTGCATCATGGTCCATTGAGTATAGGAATTAGGACGTCATGTTGAGGTCATACAGGACATTGGTGAGGCCTCTTTTGGATTACTGTGTACCGTTCTGGTTTCTCTGCTATAGGAAGGATATTATTAAATTGGAGAAAGTTCAGAAAAGATTTACCAGGATGTTGCTGGGACTAGAAAGTTGGAGTTATAAGGAAAGGCTAGACAGGCTGCGAACTTTTTCATTAGAGTGTAGGAGGTTGAGGGGTGACTTTGTAGAGGTTTATAAAATCATAAGAGGCATAGATAAGGTGAATAGAAAAGGCCCTTTCCCTAGAGTGGGTGAGTTCAAAACTAGGGGTTATATTTTTAAGGTGAGAGGAGAAAGATTTAAAAGAGACCTGAAGGGCATCTTTTTCACATAGAGGGTGGTTCGTGTGTGGGATGAACTGCCATACTAAGTGATAGATGCAGGTACAGTTGCAACATTTAAAAGACATTTTGGACAGGTAAGTGAATAGGAAAGGTTTAGAGGGATATGGGCCAAACACAAGCAGCTCAGACTGGTTTAGTTTGGGAAACTTGGTCAGCATGGACAAGTTGGACTGAAGGATCTGTTTCAGTGCTGCATGACTCAAATACCGTTAATGAAAGTTCTGCATCTAAACCCACATCATCATCCTGTGTCTCATTCATTAAGGCTCCTTTGAAAACAAAAATCAAACATATTAATAAAAAGGATATTAACACATTGTCAGTTCAATACCTTTCCAATTATTGCAAACTTTTGAATCAAAAGACACTCTTATTGGTATTTTTGAAGACTTTTTGTGACCGATTAGAATGTGGTTGTTGAACTTCAGGAGGAATGGGGTAACAGAGATTATAACAATTTTATATATTGAAGAAGATCAAAAGGAGTTTCTGCTGCAATTCAGTTGTAGGTGGTTAGCAGCTATAGTTGTCTCTTACCTTATCACTTTTCATAGGGGTGACAGGTTCAAGATGTTCACTCGAGATGCTGACTACTTTGTCAGTGTCAGACAGATACACGGAGCAAAGGCCACCCTGTGGGGGGAAAAAGGTTTAGCATTTCTTCAAAACTACACAATTCTGCAGTTTACATTCCTCTCCTGAACCACAGAGGCGTTACAATTTTCTCTATAAATTTGCCCACACAATGGTCAGTGCAATAATTGAACCTAAAAGATAGTTCTTTCACTCAGTCAATATTTGATTCAACTAAAGCTACAGCAAATTTCAGAATATCTTTTCACCCAATGGCACAGCTGAACAAAACAACAAATAATGCAAATAGTAGGCACAATTCTACAATTCAATATCTTTTGAAATGTATTTGGTTCTGAAAGTTTAAAACTACACTACTTTCACCAGTTAGCAGGAGCCTGCAGTGAATATCCCATATTTGGGGAAATGGTCGTGTTGTCAATACCATTAGTAATCTAGAGTCTCTCACAATAGCTCTGGGGAGATAGGTTCAAATCCCATCACAGCAGCTAGTGGAATTTAAACTTAATTGATCAAATCTGGAATATAAAGCTAGTCTCAGTGATACTAACCGTGAAACTAACATCAACTGCCATGAAAATCCATTGTGGATCACTAATGCTTTTTCAGAAAAGAATCAGCCAATCCTATCTGGTCTGGCCTGTGTGTGAGACTCCAAATCCACAGCTATATGGTTGAATTTTAACTGCCCTCTGAAGTGGGTAGCAAGCTACTCAGTCGTGTCAAACCAGACAGACTGCAGCAGTTCAAGAAGCTGACTGGCCACACCTTATCAGTCAATTAGAGACAGGCAATTGCTGGCTTTGCCTGTGACCCCCACAAACAGTCAAAGAATTACCGATCATGGTACAGTGTGAGCATGAATGGCATTTGACTTAAAACTCACCTGCGAGAAAGAAAATTCAGTCCCAGTTTCACCAGGCAAAGAGTAATTTCACATCACAGTTGTTTTACACTTGTGCGTCATCACACTCTATTTCCGGAATGAGCTTGGAGTGATTGCTCCATTAACTACTACCTTCCAGCTGACTACAATATTTTGCTGGGGTTACTGGCAATTTTGACACAATAGTTTTTTACTATTGCTGTTTTTTGGTTTGTGATTCTTTGTTTACTTTAGAAGCCAAACTAATGACTGAATATTTCAGACTCTAAACTTTCTCTTTGGATTGCCTTGTGTTAAAAGTCTGCTTAAATCTTGTCTCAAAGTCCAATACCAATATTCAGTACAGCTGTAACGTTACATACCGACACGCTGCGGATTACTCCAGTCTGCGCTATGATCTGTGCATCCAAATAGGTGTCCCGCACTTTAACCATGATGTCAGTCGTTACCCAGTCATTGGACCCCTGATCAATACTGGAACCTGGTGTATGAGGGTTGTATGCACCAGGCGACGGGGCCCCGGGTGTCATTGGACTATAACCAACAGGGCTTGGGCTTGGGCTTGCCTGCAATCGAAAATATACTGTGAGTGGGACAGAGAGACAATTGGAGTTAAAACAGCATTGTTCATGTACTGGAAAAGTAATCAATTCACTTTTCATCATTTTATATTCCACTTCTGTCAAAAATATAAAAGCCACCATCTTGCAAACCCTTGCAGTTCTGAAGAAGTCTTCTTGGACTCAAAATGTTAAGCCTGTTTCGTTCTCTGCAGATGCTGTCAGACCTGTGGAGTTTCTCTGTACTTATGTTTGTTTCGGTTACAGTATTAACTGTATTCCAGTTGAGATAAACTAACCAGAACAGCCAAGTTGTTGTTGTCTTTGCAAAAATAAATTCACACAGGTTCACTCTTAACACCTACCTGGTATGCCATTGGTGACGGTGTTGGGTGATAGCTGGCAGGTGAGTGAGTATTTTGGTAGCCCACAGGGCTTGGTGCGACCTGGTGATAGCTTTGTGGACTGGGGCTGGGCTGGTAAGATCCTTGAGGAGATGGAGCCGCATATGGAGAAAACTGATCTGTGCTGTACCTGAAAGACAAACTCTAAAGGTTAAATGATGAGGGGACTGAACTAGTCATACCTGATCCACCTTTTTGAAGAGTAACAATTTGTAGAAAGGCAGCTAAAACCACAGCAAATTGCAATCCTCTTTAGGAAGGATCTGAAGGTCCTGGAGGAGACCTGTTCGAATGGTTTCATGGATGAGGTTTTTACAGCGACAAAATTAGGTTGGTGAAACTGGGATTATTCTCCATGTATTAAAAGGAGATTGATGGGAGATTTGGGAGAAAGATAAGAAATAGGAGGCAGCCATTTGGCACTTCAAGCTTGCTGTACTAATCAATAAGATCATGGCTGATCTTGGTTGTGGTCTCAACTGTACTTTCCCATTTGCTCCCCAAAACTCCTAACTCTTTCGTCAACAAAATAGCTGACCCAACTTCCACTGCTCTAAGTGAAAGAGAAATCTAAAGACCTTTTGAGAGAAGAAATTTCTCTTATCTTCATCCTACACAAGTTCCCTCATTTTTAAGCTGTGTCCAAAAGTTCTAGATTCCACCCAAATGAAACATTCTTTCAGCATCTAAACCATCAAGCTGCCTCAGAATGTTTTACATTCCATTAAGGGATCGCGTCTCATTCTTCTCAACTCCAAAGAAAGACTGTATTGCCAAGCTTTCCCCACACAATCAGCCCTTCATCCCAGAAATCAGCTTTGTGAATCTTCCCTGAACTACTACCAATGTAAGTCAAACCCTCCTCCAGTAAGGAAGCCAAAATAATTTACACTTCTTCAGTCTCTCCAACATCTTGTAGAGTTACAACAAGACTTCTGTTTTCATACTCCACATTCCCGCAACAAAGGTCAAAATTCCAGCTCCCTCTTAATTATCTGATCTACCTACACACTAACATTTTGTGATTCATGGACATCCAGACCCTTCTGTACTTCAGAACTCTGCTGTGCCTCACCATTTAAGTAATAATCTGCTTCCTTATCCCTCCTGCCAAAATGGACAATGTTACATTTTCCTACATTATACTACATCTGCCAAATTTTTGCCCAATCATTTAACTCATCTATATCCTTTTGCAGACTCTTTGTATTCACCTCACAACTTGCTTGCCTACCTTTCTTGGTATAATTAGAATATTTGGATGCGATACAGTCAGTTCCCTTATTCAAGTTATCACCATAGACTGTAAATAGTTAAGGACACAGGCCTGATCCCTGAGGCACTCCACCAGTCAGCTTGTCAACCTGAAAGTAACCGTATTATTTCAACTGTGTTTCTTGGTAGTTAACCAATCCTCCATTCATGTTAATATATCATCTCGTACCCTGCACTCTTATCTTAATGCATTTATGTGGCACTTCATAAAATGTTTTTTTGGAAATATACTGGCTCCCCTTTATCTACCCAGTTATATGTTCCAATCTAATTGGCCTGAAGTTTCCTGCTTTCTTGAAAAATGAGGTTACATTTTTAATATATCATGACAAGTTTAAATAAGGTAAGTTGTTGTCATTAGCTGATGGTAAAAGGATTGGAGACATAGATTTCAAGACTGGGCAAGAGAGGCAGGGGTCATGAAGAACTATTTTAATTAACCAATGGTAATGACTGGAACACACTGTCTACCCGAACAGTGGAAGCAGAGACGATGAATGATTTGAAAAAGAAGTTGGAAAGCACTTGAGGGAAATAAAGTTGCGTGGCTACAGAAATGTGCAGAGGAATGAAACTAATTAATTGCTCTAAAAAGAGAAAACACAGACTTGATGCGCTGAGCAACCTCCTTCTGTGCCATCATGACTCTGTAGGCAGATAGAAACTTGGTGGAAGTGAAAACTGTTTGCTTTACTCTGGTTTCACATTAGGCCTTAATTCCGCACTTTTTATGTATTCATGAGCAATTTAGTTAAGAAGACGTAATGTGAAGTCTAGATGCAATTGAGTGTGAAGAGGTTTGTGTGAATGATAATACTGCCAAAAACTGATTGGGCTGAATGGCCTCTCTCTGTACACCATTCTTGCACACCAATACTAGAAAATTATGTCTGTCTCTGCAGTTGGTTCTGCTATAACGCGTGTTCCAGCAATGCAAATTGGGTATAACACGACTGACGAATAGGGGAACACTATTTCTCAAATCTGAATTTGTGTTGGCTATAACACTATTCCATCAGTGCGCAAAGCAGTACGTGTTGATAACACATGATCGTTTCGTGAGCTTTGTCCTGAATATACACAATGTTAGTGCCGAAACAGCAAACTCAAAACCTTCCCCACTGAGTCATGACATTTTTCAAGGTAAGGTGTTTAGTTTACTTTTATTTCATTATTAGATATGAATTAAACATTTATTCAAACTGTGCTATCCTGTGTTAGGCTTTTGAACGATTTTGAGTGATATTTTTTAGTGGTCTGCCCCAACCCCGCTTTTCCCATAGGCCCTGTTATTTCGATAGCACGATTTTCTATAACACAATGCTGAGCAGGCAACTATCGCGTTATAGCAGAACCGACTGAACATTGGACAAATTTCCAGTAATGTGCCCTCTTAGCAGCACCTATGTACTTCAACAGAAAAAAATATATTGAGCTCAGAGAATCAATCTATAATTACCCAACAGTGAACTTTAGAATTACTCACATTGCTGGTGTTCCAGGTGTTTGAGGGTTATATTGCGGGTTAACCTGCGGAGATGGCACGTCCGTGTAGCCTGGGGTTTGTGGGTTGGGTGTTCCACCATATGCCTGTGGAGATGGGGTGGGCTCATCATCGTAAGGGAAATCATACTCATCATCATTCCTATGCAATTAAAGAAAAGAAAATAAGGCTTGTAACGAATGCACAAGACATTCTGTAAACAAAGTAAATTGGTATTGTTCAAATGTTAATATTTGCTGCAAGTCAAAGTGAATAGCTTTGGTTCCATTGATACTCACCTGGATGGTGTGTTGGGATTATTTGGATCCCAAGCTCCACTTTGTCCTGGAGTCCTGCTCCCATCATGAACTGGAGTTTGCGAGCCGTAATGTGGAGTTCGACTTCCTAAAAGCAAAGAGATAAGTCTGAAATATTGATCTTCACTCCCATTTCCGCTGCAGGGTGGAATTAAAAACAGACTCAATATTTGACTGTTTCTGGTTAAATTGCTGTAAAGATTTTGCAATGATTCTAACTCTAAAGGATCCTGCAATGTCTAATATGACTCTGCACACATTCAATTTCGTCATTCTAACCACAAAGATGCCTTAGCCAACAACTGGGCAATGTGTTTCAGTCTCCCAAAAACTTCACAGTTTCAAGTACAAAAAAAGATGTTTGACAACTCAATTTCCATCCTGAAGCCAATTATGACTTTGAAATCTGTGGACAGGAATGTTTTTCTCTGACAGATTTTAACTTAGGTGAATGGACTTGTGGTCAGTCTGACTTGTCAGGGGAATAAAAACACTTTTGAACAAATGAAAAGTGTATTTCTAAGAACAGACAGGTTGTAAAAGCTTTTCATTTCATGCTTATTGGGGCAATTACAACATTGCCAAATTGAAAAGGAGCAGTGACTCTTTAATTCTTGACTAAGGAATCCATTGGAATCCATGAATTTTACTAAAATGACCAGGGTATAAATGAGAATTAAATAAGATAAAGTCATGAGAGACATTAGTCCCATCAAGTTTGATGTCAACTCCCGATGAACAGTCTGCTCAGTTCAGTTCAGCTTTTCCATCCCTGTATCCCAGCAAGTTTGTTTCCTTTCAAGTTGCCATTTATTTTCCCTTTCAAATGAATGTCTCCACTTCCATCATACCACTGGGCAGTGAGTTCCAGGACACTGTCTGGTCAAGTGATCTTACCATCATGTAAAGGTGTCTGGGAGCCATACATGGGTGTCCGAGATCCTGATCCATACATTGGGGTTTGGGAACCGTACATTGGGGTACGACTGTAAGCAGATGTCAAGCCACCCTTCTTCTTGGAGTCCCTGAAATTCAAACATGAAAGTATTTTGTATTTTTCCCTACAAACAAAATTCACCATGAGGAACCATTTAGCTCACAATATCTTCAAGTTGGAATGGGGTACAGCAAGGGATGGACATAAAGACAAGCAAACAGATTAGGATCAAGAGTAAAATTTCACGAATCAAAAGGGCTGCTAATTATAGCAACAAGGAGAAAGATAGACACGTAGGGCATCGCAAATGAAGAGCCGATAGGTTGAGCTGGGAACAACTGAAGAAAAATATTCAGTGTAGGGTAAAAATAGAAATGAAGTAAGAAAAATTAAATGCATTGATAGCATTGACAGGTAGACTGAAGGAGGCTTGAAGAAAACTACAGAGAAACCAAGATAATGCAAATGCTCCCACTAAGGCTACACTGAAAGTAAATGAGGATTTCCGGATATTAATTTATGAACTTTTCCCATGATAATAATTCTTGGACTTCAATTCATTATAAACATTTTACGGATTGTCAGAATCAGTCACACTTCTTCCTCCTCCTTTCTTTCCTCCACCACTCACCTGAAATCTTGCTTTGGATTCAGATTTGCAGGTGCCAGGCACCCATCTAGCTATCATCTCAAGCAGTCGCTATTCAGTTGCAAGACTCAAAACTGCAAATTAGTTAACTATTTTCCTACATTGGGACATCAGAGGCAGGCCCTATGCAGAGAATATATCACTTTTTAAAACCACAGTCCAGCTTCTTTCGACTGTGCTATTGGTTTATACACATCAGGGTATAGTAAGGGGATAATATAGATACAAGTAAATGACAGGAAGATCAAAGTCATTGCTTTTGCCTCCCACTCTAAACTCTGCTCCCTAGCTACCAACTCCATCCTCCTGTCTCAATTGACCCCAACTTGAGCTTCCAGTAACAAAAAAAAGTCAGCACGAAAGACTCTCAATTTCGACATACATCACCTTCCTTTGCCCATGTCTTAGATTACGTGCTGCAGAATCTCCTTTTAGGTCTTTAATACTTCTGGACCTGACTATTCACAAGCATTCACTGCTCACCTCCCCACATTCTATCCTCCACAAACTTGAGGTCATCAAATTCTCTGCTCTCCATGTCTTTACTTGCAGCATGATCCATTGTCGTGCTCCACTGATTTCTGGTCGAGCAAAATCTAGGTTTTAAAATTCTCACGTTCGTTTAAAATCCCTCCATGGTGTTGCCTCTCCCTATTTCTAATCTGTATAAGCCACACAACTCTAATTTTTCTGAATTCCAATTTTTACCTTTGAACATACCCAATTTAATCGCTTCAGTTTTGATGATGTGGAGGCGCCAGCGTTGGACTGGGGTGGACATGGTCAAAAGTCACACAATAGCAGGTTTAGTCCAACAGGTTTATTTGAAGTCACAGAGCGCTGCTCCTTCGGCAGGCGAAGTGAAGAGAGCATCCAGGCACAGACATTATAATCAGAGAGATCGAAAGATCACACAAATGGTCAAATGGTGTGAGTAGAGCATCAATAAGCCGAATAAAATGTCTCTGCAGGTGATCAAGAGTGTCAGTTTTGATGAGCATAATTTCAGTTGCCTAGTTCCTAGATCTGGAATAGCCTCCCTAAAACTCTTTGCCTCATGGCCTGCCTTTCCTCCTTTCAGATACTCCATAAACCAGTCTTTTCAACTGAATGTTTAGTCACCTGACTTAATATCTTATCTGGCATGGTGCATATTTTGTTTTAAAAAGCTCCCGTGAAACAACATGGGACATTTTATTAGGTTTAATGAGCTATGCAAACACAAGCTGCTGTTACTGCTCTAGTAAAGTATACAATCCATTGAATTCAACTTCAGAACTCTAGACTTACACTGTAGTGAGGCGCTGGCGATCTACAGAAATGGTCTGGCAGGTGGAATGAAGCTCTACGCGAGCTGTGGATTCTGTCGCATCCTTTACCACACCTATGTAACCTGTGGACACAATTAATTACACTAAGTATTATAATACTGAACTGAATAGGCTCTGCTGTAACACCCAATTCCAGGCAGTGAACAAACATTCATCCTATTCGTTGTACTTTGCAATATTCAAATGTGCTGTTTATGGAAGTGTTACTTTTACCTATATAGGGAGTCTTACCTGTAGCGACACCTCACAGTAGCTACTTAGTTGAGGACAGGCCTCTTGGCAGTCTCTCAGCAGCAACAAAACCTCTCGATTAAGTCAGAGGATGGAAGGGGCTGACAAAAGATTTCCAGTCTCAGCTGCTGGGATGCCAATTTGGCTCATTACGGTTTGGTGGTAGCTGAGGGATTAAATGGGAGTCACACTGCCTTCCCATGATTCCACTGATATAACCACTACCTAAAATTCTCAGGATTTTAATGGTGTAATTAGTCAGTCATTTGGAGAATTTCTGAAACTTACAAAAATGGATTTCTAAATGTTTGAAACAAAAGAAGAGCAAATAAATATAAACTGGAAAAGAAGAGACAATAATCATAGCATTGTACGTCAGGAACATCTAGAGATGAGATGCTAAAATTAAACAAAGATCTGCGAATGCTGGATATCTGAAACAAATGCAGAAATTGCTGGAGAAACTCAGCAGATCTGCAGCATCTGTTGGAAGAAAGCAGAATTAATGTTTTGAAAACAGTGACTCTTCATCAGGACAGCTTCACCCTGAGTTTCTCCAGCAATTTCTGCTTTTGTTGTTAGTTAGGTGTTTCGTTGTGATTTTTTTGTTAACATTGTATTGATTATTCGACGCATGGTGCTAACTAAGAAAGTTCTTAGTTTCATAGCATACCTTTATATGGTCCTTGTGAAATGCGAACCGTTTGTCCAATCAGGTCATTATCTCTACGACCTCGACCACGGCCCATTCCCCCTTGTCCTCCAAAACCGCCTCGCGGGGCTGTAAGATTCAAACATTTAATTGGTTTAACTGCAGAAAAGCAGATGTCATTAAAATCATGACAAATAAAGGCATAGCCACATCCTGAGTTTCAGCAGTGCACATCACTGAAATGGGATTATCAAGGGCCATGGATTTGAAGCCATTAGACCAAACTTGAACCAATGGGCAAGCAGGCAGTATTTGAAACAATCTATATCAAATATTGTTTTAACATTGCAGTCACAGATTTGGTAGACTGATCATACCAAAATTCCAGATCATATTAAATTTCAGGTCACTTTTGATTGAGAATAGAGCGCTTCACCACAAGGCCCAGGTACTCGACTCTTAGTTCATCATCTGGTGGTTAATAAACAAGATTTAACCTACAGGTAACTGTCCTTTATGAAACTAGTCTAACTATTCCTACACATATTGTTCAATTATTGCATGTGGAAAATTTAATATTACATAAATCCGGCAGACTGACTTTGAAAAGGGATTTCATTATTCAGACCAATGTATATTATTCCTATTGTTCATTCATCAAACGCTGTGTGTTAAACACCATGGTTAACAAGTTCAGAATTAAAGGTCTTTCTGGACAGCTCTACACTTGTCTAATTCAAATCAAGTTAGAGGAAGTCCAGGAAAAGCTTGGACTCTGGGCCAAACTGTTAGTATTTGCCCCCTCATATGTATTGATTCTCTAATAATACTCTCGTTAGCCAATGCTGTACATTGGAACAGTTATGGTAGGCAATTGATTTTAGCCATTTTTTGCCAGATCTGGCTGGATCAAACAAAGCACTAATTACTGTTCCAGGATCATCCTTGAATCTGAAGATAACTCAAATCATCATCTCCACTGCCAACAACTTCTTTTCCTTTATTCTTTTGAGACATGTGGGCATCGTTGGCAAGGCTGACATTTGTTGTCTATCCCTAATTACCTTTGAACAGACTAGATTGCTCAGGCCATTTCTGAAGGCAGTTAACAGTCAACCATGAACCAGTTGGGTGTTTTTAAAACAACAACTGATGATAGTTTCATAGTGACCATCACCAAGAATGACTTTCAATTCCAGATTTATTAATTGAATTTAAATTCTACCAGTTGCTACCCAGAGCACACACGAAATAATTTGCAGTTTGGTATCACTAACCATAAACAGGGTATCCCATTGAAACCATTGCAGCTAAGCAATCAAAGTGTAGAAAACAAAAAAAAACTTATACTTAACAGACCAAAAGGCAAAATCTGTATTGTGTACATTCCATTAATAACACACATTGTATAAGAAAGCAACATCTTCTATAGTCAATCTATTTGTATTCAGTCCTGTTTGTCAAAAGCATATCTTCCACTAAAGTAATAGCTTTAGATCTCACTCAAAAAGTTCACTCACCTCCACCACTGGGGTGCATTGGACTGCTAATGCGGGGGCTCATCGGCGCAAAACCGCTCACTGTGAAATTTGTTACATCCCTTGGCTGCAATAAAAGTCCAAAACAAAGCCAATGAAGAAATATTTTGTGTTAATTGTCATACTAGCTCAAGACACAATTCCACTCAAAAGAAAAAAACAGTTGTTTTCTCACCAACTCTTGCCTCTGCTCCTCACAGGAGCAATGGCTTGAGTTTGAGTATAGCTGTACACAGGATGAAAGCACTTCAATTACACAGACAAGTAACATTCGTGAGTGAGCTAAGATAATGAGGACATTAAACAATCAGCAGATCAAACTCAATAAGCACCAAATGTCCACCTTCTTTCCAGTTGAATTGGAATCTACTGTACCAACTGTACATGCCAACCACAACCTTGCCTGAAGTTAAGTTTTGCACTGGCCTATGCTGAGTCAGGAGGAGGTCAGCTATCTACTTAAACAGAGTAAAAGTCTCTACAATACCATAATCTCTGAAAAGAAAATCATTTCCCTGTTGGAAAAGGACAGTAGGGTTGTCCAGAGTCTTGAAGAAGACTCTCAGGCCAAAGAATAACCAGTCTAGTAGATGCTGAGTGACTTGCTGACTATTTCCACCATCTTCTATTTTTAATTCATGTTCCAAATCAATCGACAAATAAAAAGAACTAACTTGCAAGTGGCAGCTATGATGATGGATTCACAGCTGGCAAAAGATACATCCAGAGTAAAACCATATAAATATCATTTTGAAGCAAGTAATTTTAACTTTCAAAGAATGACAGAAAGCTGGAAAGATGTTTCAAGTGATATCTGTCTAGAGGAGTGCCAACACATCATTATAAACTTATGTCACATTGAGAATAACTTTTGTGCTAAACACAAATGGAAATCTAAAACTCCCAGCGCAACCAAGAGCTGGAGTTCATATTGAAACATTCCTATTTTTTTCCACTCCCAGTCTCAGTCTTTTTGCACATGGAGGTTCTGAATGGAAAAAAAGTGCTTGCTGTGTTGCAGAATGAATCAATCGCCATTACATAGTTGTAAATGATTAAGAATTGGTACCAAATCCAATATGATGTGTGGAATCACACACTGTTGTCACCTTTAGACTTGTTTGAAGTCACAAATGTTTGACAAAGTCTTACATCAGCAATTGACATTGAAGTTACCTGTGTAAATGTCTAGACAGAAATTCTCTATGCAAACAGTTGCCTGTCATGGTGTAAGCTCTTTCCAATAGACAGCATTACTTTGGAAGGTTCACCAACAAACATTACATCCTGGATATATAAAATGTTTGTATGTATTCACTTATAATAAGTAGTGCCGTAGGCTATTTATTAGTTTTACTTTAAGAAAAGTAGAAATTTCAGGAATTTATTAAGGTTTTAAGTTTATACAACTTACCTTTGCACCTCCAGCAAGTACTAAGTGTCGGGTTTTACAAACAAACATACCGCCATTTTCCACCAATTTCTTGCAATGTAGAAATGCGAAGCCACGATACAAGTGTCTGATCTCACCCTCACGACCCTAGAAAATTAAATTTGAGGTCTGCATAAATCCTGTTAAGCATTGTTTGTTTCAATATACCAGAAAAAAATACAGAAGACTTTTATTAAACACAAAATTGGGCAGGTGCTGGGGAAATGGTGGCGTAATAGCTATAGACATAATGAATGAGAAATCCAAATGCCCACTAACATTTGAGGACATGATTCAAAGCCATGGCAGCTGTTGGAATTTAAGTGCAATCAATAAATCTGAAGTCAAAAGCTAGACTCGGGAATAATGACCATGAAACTACTGTATTGTCATACAAATCTATTTGGTTTACTCATGTCCTTTAGGAAAGGAAATCTGCCGCCCAGATAAGACCACTTAGCATCGACAAAGGCGCTGGAAATGACAACAGCACTGGAAATGACAACAGCACATCCTGCTCAGTCAACCCTGCAAAGTCCTCGTTGTAGAATCTAGGGGCTTGTATTATAGAGGAGCTATCCCACAGCCCAACAGAGCTGTGCTCACTGAGCCATAACTTATGGCCAGTACCACAGTTACATTCCTAGGTACATGTTTACTAAAGAAGTGAAATCCGACTGATGGTGGAAGCTGCAATGGTAAAGGTTTTGGAAAGTGAGAAATTTGAAGAGGTGGTATTACAAAGGCTGCTTAAGGTAAGTAGTCCTTCTGGTCTGCATGTTTTGCCTGCCAGGTTGTTAAAGGAAGTTGGGGTGGGGATAAAAGAGTTTGCTTAACTTTTCAATCTACCCTAGATATAGGGGAGGTGCCAGAGGATTCAAGAGTGGAAAATGTGACATCCTTAATCAAGAATGAGTGCAAGGACAATCTTTAACTCAAGGTTTTTGGAATACAGAGTCAGGAAAAATGGGCAATAAACTCTAGCCTAACAGCAGTGTCCACATTCCATTCATAAATTTTAAAACTTCAAGAGGGACGTGAATAGAGTTCATTAAGGATAGCCAGCGCAGATTTGTAAAAGGTAGATTGTCCCTCAGTGCATTCTAGATCCAGAGCCACACACAACATTCCTCGTGTCACCCTTGTGTGCTATTTGCCTTAAATTTGCCTTTTCGACCAATAGGAATAGTTTCTCCACATCACTTTGCCCAGACCCCTCATGATTTTGAATACCTCGAACAAATCTCAACATTTGCTTCTGCAAGGAAAATAGCTTCAGCTTCTGTAATCTATCCATGTCACGTTTATCTGAAAGGATTCTTGTTAATCTTTACTGCACTCTCCAACTTCTTCACTTCCTGCAAAATGCAGTACCATAATTGGATGTAATTCTCCATCTGATGTCAATCCAACGCATTATAGAGATTTGTCATAACTTCCTTGTTTTTAATACTCTAGGCCTCTATCTATAAAGCCCAAGATCCCATATGGCCACAGTACCAGCCTGCCTTTGAAGTCAAGACAGGAGGTCTCTGATTTATGAACATCCAACTTTTGAACACTCATACCTACGAACACAACCTCATACAGGGGTGTAATTTTAAATTCACAACAGACGAACATTTCCTGTACTTACAAACAGTTGCGTTATTGTGTCGTACATCATGTTCCAACTTGCACATAAATTGACTTGTGAACTGATTCAGATATGGAATACATTCGCAGCCTAGGGACTGCCTGAATTTATCATCCTCACAATTCATAATACTTCCAAGTTTTATCTTATCTACAAATCCTGAAATTCTACCCTGCACTTCCTTGAGATCATGAATATAGATTCAAAAAAAGCAGTAATCCTAATGCTGGTCCCCGGGATACTCCATTATATTACTGTCTCCAATCCAACAAACAATTCCTCACCAGTATTCTGCCTCTTGTCACTTAGCAAACTTGTTATGCATTCTGCTGCTTGTACTGCAGGGTTTCAGCTTTGTTAACAAGTCTGCTAAACGAAAATAATTTTGCAAGTCCATATGCACCATGCCAACTGTATTACTTTCATCAACCCATGCTGCTCCTCAACAAAGATAAAGACACATTAAACCAATGAAATCTCTACCACAGGTAAAATTGTACCACAGGTCAGCAAGATCATAAAACAAATGAAACATTTTATTTCTACACGGTTGGAACTGACAAATAATGAAGTAAGCTGTATGAAACCTTTGGTTAGACCGTACTTATATCACCACATGCAGTTCAGATGCCATGTTAACAACAATGAGGCACACTAAAGAGGATGCAGAGCAGATTGACAAGGATGATAACAGAAATGAATGAGTTGACATATCAGAAAGGATCGACAAATTGCGTCTTTTTTTTCCTGAAAAAAAGGTAGTGAAAGATTGACCAAACAGAGATCGTGAAGATTGCGAAAGGTTTTGATGGAATGGATATATAGGGAACGCTTTTGACAGTGATGGTACAGACATGCAGATGGAAGATCATTTCAAGGTTGAATGCCGCAAGATTGCAAACAGTCTGCTTCAGACTCATATAGCTGCGAGAAAAGAAGATAGAGTCAATGGTAAGGGAGTGTAGTTTTGTAGCTGGTTCAACATTTAACTGGAGAAAATTTCCACTCATCCAATATTGGATGTCTAACAAGTTGTCTGATAAATTAAGGACAGGAACAATCTTTCACAAACCTTAGTCTTCATTCTGTCAAGGAATCATTGAAAGAAAATCAGTTTAAGTTTTTATCTAATGTGACCATTGACTGCAATCATTGTGTACCTCCAGTGAAAATTCCCAAATGGAAGACTATGGAGTATTACCACGTACTAATTTAAAAGATAGTCATCAGGTTACTTTGGAGGTAATGCTGTGTTTTCAGATAAGGCGGTCAAGGGACTTCATGCAGCTGAGAAATAGGAGGGGACCAAGGATAGTTACTTAAGGTCACCAGAGGTAATGCTGACTTAACACTTTGCCCCAGATTTCTATATTTGCAATCTCGTTTAAAAACAAAATCAGCAGGGAAGTCTTACTGAGTGTGGTCCATCAATGACTTTGACAATGTCTTTCACATGAATATTGTTTTGCTCAGAGTCCAAGGCCACAGCAAAGCGATTATCCTTCTTCCGAGTTATTGCCTGATGCCGTACAGTAATGACCTTTCCATACATATTAAGAACCTACAAAAGGTGAATATTAAATGATTAAACAGTTTGCATTTCTCAGCCCAAGCAGAAGAGGAATAGCTTTCTATCTGCATTGTTGAAGGATAAAGTTTATCTTTTGCAAATGTCTTATGAAAAATAAGCAAAATAAGAGGCGATGTAAGATTGAGAAAGTTCACAAAAAGTCTGTAATCAAAGGGAATTTTAGTTAGAAGTATTTTTAATTGGTTTGTTTCTATTTTACCAATCCAATAAGCTAAAAAGCAGACAAAAATCCAAACTCATGTAAGCAGTCATGTTAAATGATTGCTCCTTAAAGGAACATACATTACAAGAATTGGATTATCTTGCATTCCTTCAGTTATCTTATTTGTAACCGATATAAGGTAATATTGGCAAAGTGCATTCATTCATAAATGCCGCATTTAATTGCCACTACAGACCACCAAAAATGTTCTAAACAGTAACAATGCAATTAAGACCATCACAGTGGCACTTCACTCAATGATTTGCAACCTGGACTTCCAAGACTACTTCTGTTCACTGTTTCCCTATTTTGCAACTGGAGCTCCCACTCTATGTTCTAACTGCTCTGACACAGGAAAAGGAGACAAAGATGCACTTATCATATCTGGGTCAATTATCAAATCAGGTAACCGACAAAGATCTAAATAAAAACCAAAAGGACTGCGGATGCTGTAAATCAGGAACAAAAACAAAGTTGCCGGAAAAGCTCAGCAGGTCTGGCAGCATCTGTGGAGGAGAAAACAGAGTTAACGTTTCGGGTCCGGTGACCCTTCCTCAGAACTCAATGATCTGTAAGGCTGGCAGTTTGATTAAAAGGACAGCTTCTCACACACGGCTCAATAATTTATGATCAAATAATCAATAAAAGTTACACATCTGCACAAGCAAGGTACAACCAAGGGTAGCTGAACAAAGTTGTGACAAGGACATCGTTGGGAAGCGATGAAGTAATAGTACGCTGGACTGCTAATCCCAAACATGATTCGAATTCCACCTTCGCAGATTATGAAACGTGAAACCAATTTTAAAAAAAAGTCTAGAATAAAAATTTAGCCTAATGGCAAGTTTGTAACCATCAGCAATTGTTGTGAAAACCCATCTGGTTCACTAAAGTCCTTAGGGAAGGAAATCTGCCGACCTTACCTATCTGGCCTATATGTGATTCCAGCCCCACAACCCTCTTGGTGATAAAGCCAATCTTGCCAGCAATGCCCACATCTCAAACAAATTTTTTTAACATGGTAGTGGCCACTGGGGAAACAATAAGCTCATACATGAGTTGGTTTTATCACATTTTCAGCTCCCAAAGTTCTAAGCTCTGGAATTCCCTCTCTGGCCCTCTCCTCCATTAACAAACACTGTAAAACCTGTATCTGTAACCAAGCTTTCTATCACCTGTCCTAAAAGCTCCCTAAATGGTCCAAGTGTCAATTTATTTTTGATAAAACACCATCAGGCACCTTGGGACATTTTATTACACATAAAATGAGTTAGATGCTGGCACCTGGAATTCTGGTTTGAAATCAACACAAACTGAATGAGATTGGCAATTATGTTGGCAATTGGAATTATGTTGGCAATTATATGAAATGAAGTTGTTAGCTCTACCCTAATCCTCATGGACATGGGACCACCATAATAACTACTCCCAATTTTAAATCTTGATCAGAAATACCATTGGAAAAGTGGAAAATTTCAAGCTGGACACGGGGGATTTCAAGGGCACTTTCCTGCTGTACAGTTCAGACAAGGCACTTGTCAATACACACATTCAGAAGCAACATTTCAGGACTGAGCAAAGAGTGTTTAATTTTGACACATAGGTGACAAGGAGAAGACATGTTAAAAGTATTCCAGATTGTGGTTTAAAAATTCAGAAAATATGTTACAATTTCAGATTAATTGATAAATCTAATGGTCATGAAGATGCATTCAAATTCCTATGGTTCCAAAATAGACACTGAATACACAGTCTATTTAAGTTGGAGCAAACTCTAATAAACAATATTTTAGTTAATACATCTCAAGAGGAATCAAATGTCATACCTGGAACGTCTCCCTCTCCAGCCGGACAATGACTCCCATAGTCTGTGGATCAAGTTGGACCAGTTCACCCCACTCATGCTGACCTCCAGCATCAACTCCAGATGCAGTCTCTGAGCATAGCTGCAAATCCCTTGGGAGCACTTTCAGCTGAAATACAATAGGATTTCTTAAGATTTCAAACACCGTCAAAATTGCATCACCAAAGCTTGCAAACATTGCATCATGACTTGTAACAGAATAATTTAAAACCAAAAAAAAGTCAGTTAGCCAGGGCAGGGGCAATGGAGGACCAACAAGCTTCCCAGTGCATCTAGCTTGGGGAAAGAAAAGTTTAAAATTCCAACAGGATTCCTCTTCATGATGGTCATCTAATGACCCCTGCAGGAAAGTGCAAGGCAGTGACAGGATCAGGCTCAGATATTCTGCTACACTACAACTCCTACCATTGACTGGAAAGGCTTCAGCAACAATCATGCATGGACATTTGGCCCGCACGGCAAAGGCCGTCACATGCACAACTGATGCCTTTCTGGTTGGCCTATGTTACACAAATTCCAATCCCTGCACAGCCTAGCTAGTTCATGTTAGTCTCAGAGTCACTGTCTTGAGTCCCACATTCCTAATTTTTTTTTAAATGTATGCTTTATTTTACATTCAAAACGCTGAACAATTGTCATGAGTAAAGTTCCTTCTTGCAGGTGCAAGAATTGAAAATGATGAATAGGAGCTTCCTGGAACAGCCCATTTACCAAAGAATCTATTCATTTGCAGAAAATAGCAAGCATCAATAAATAATGCAAAATGAAGCAAAGCTCTACATTTTGATACTTTGCAAAGCCTTTGTGATAGCACCTGCAAAAAATGGTATTAAAAAGCAATCCTCCAATGTATTTCTGATGAGAATAGTAATAACGATGACTGGCAAATGAACAGAACGTTTGGGGAACAGTCAATCCCAACATGATGTTGTTCAAATTTAATCAGAATTAACACATTGCAAAACTTATTTTAGGTTGTTAAATGCAAATAATGAAGAGTTAACATGTATACTTGTGTGAAAGTTGAGTTTGAGATCAAACATTAAACCAAACAAAGAGTGGATGAATTTATGTGCGGGGTTAAATTCACTCCACTCTTTAGGAACTGCCAATAACGACAGTCTCCACAGTTGCTGGCCATGGTCCAGAATTCTGAAGGAAATGCTGTCCAGAGCTTTCTATTTTAGACAGTTTGAATGAGAAACAGCAATTGTAAAACAGACTCATTGGACTGTTCCAGCCATGAAGTATACAAAATATAAGAGCTTCTGGGCCAAAATAGGGGTGATTTACACATGAGATTGACTATTACTAGAATATATAGCGTAAATGACACCAGCTGCTCTCAGGAGTACTCAACCAGGGACTTGGGTTCGATTTCAGCATTGGGTGACTGACTGCGTGGAGTTTACATGCTCTCATGTCTGTGTGGTTCCCGCCAGAGCTCCAGTTTCTTCACACAGTCCAATGCCGTGCGGGTTAGGTAGATTAGTCATGCTAAGTTGTCCCGTAGTGTCCAGCGATGTACAGACTAGGTGGGTCAGCCATGGTAAATGCTGGATTTTGGGTGGTAGGTCTGGGTGGGATGCTTTTCATAGGGTTGGAGCAGGCCCTATGGGCTGAATGGCCTCTTTCTGCACAGTAGGGATTCTATAACAGCAATTATCATTTTCTGAAACTGAATGCTTCTGTGCAAGTGCATTAACTTGGTCTTATAGTGTTGCTGTACACTTAAAATGCAGCCTGGTCAAGACACTATGGGTAGCTAACACCTCAATGAAACTGTATCCCATTAAAGGTGCAATTTCAAAATCAAAGGAAAAAAATATGGATGGCCAGAAGAAAAGGCTTCTCCAAAAACAGTAGCAAACTCAATGTTTAGGAATTCCCAATGAACAAACAATGATTTCTTGACAAGCCCACAATAATGAGCCAGTGAACATTCTGTCCTCATCAAGTTAGAAGTCTCACAACATCAGGTTATAATCCAACAGGTTTATTTGAAATCACAAGCTTTCGGACTGCTGCTCCTTCACCTGGTGAAGTGTAGGATCTTCAGACTTCACCTGACGAAGAGGCAGCCCTCTGAAAGCTTGGGATTTCAAATAAACCTGTTGGACTATAACCTGATGTTGTGGGACTTGACTTTTTCCAAACCAGTCCAACACTGGCACCTCCACATCATGTCCTCATCAAGTGAGGAACCAAGGCAAAAACCAAAATATATCAAGGATCGAAGAGGGAGACTTTCCATATGGCTTATACTAATAGAAGTGAAATATTCAACTTTCACAAAATAAAAACACCATTTGATACGAAAATAGCATTTTGGTCCTTAAAGGTTCATCCCTCAGTGCCACAATAACCATTATTCATCATCTTATAATAATCCACGTAGCTTTTCTTCAGTAATACAAGTCGTTAAAGAGCATCCAAACATTTAAAAAGATAAAAGGTAAAGGTAAAGTCGTCATAGTATTACCAGACCATAGGGCTGTATTGATTAGAGAGGAGATGACTGGTCGTGCTTTAACCAGAGGATCACCACAATTCACCTCAGGTGAGGGAAGAGTTTTAGAAGAAAAATCTTTCACGGTAACTTCAGCTGGTGTAGGAATTGAGCCCATGCTGTTGATGGCACTCCAAATTACAAACCAGCTGTCAGCTAAATTAGGGAGATTATGCTTTAGTTACACAGGACATTGAGATTGTATAGTATTGTTTCTGGAACTGGTTTCCATATTTAAGGAAAGATCCAGAACCAGGGGTCACAGCGTGAGAATGTGGGGTCGACAATTTAGGACGGAGGTGAGGAGATAGTTCTTCACCCAAAGAGTGGTAAGCCTGTGGAATTCATAACCACACGAAGTAGTTGATGCCAAAACATTGAATGCATTCAAGAAGCGACTAGTCATAGCACTTGGGGCAAATGGGATCAAAGGTTCTGGGGAGAAAGCAGCATTAGGCTATTGAGTTGGACGATCAGCCATGATCACAAAGAATGGCAGAACGGGCTTGAAGAGCCAAATGGCCTCCTCCAGCTCCTATCTTGTATGTTTCTATATATAGGAACCAATTCAAAGAAGGCTTACTAAGCTAAAATCTGTAATAGGCAAGTTATCATATGAGGAAAGGTTGAGATTGCATCTGCTCAAGTTTAGAAGAGTAAGAGAGGTCTGACTGAAACACACAAGATTCAGAGGGGTCTTTAAATGGTGAACATGGAAAGAATATTTTCTCTTGTCGGAAAATCTAGAGCTAGGGTGACTTTTTAAGTAAATGGCCGTCCATGCAAGGGAATGAGAATAATTTTCTTCTCTCAGAGGGTCATGAGTTTTTGGAACTCTTCCTCAAACCGTAGCCTAAGCAGAGATTTTGAATATTTTAAGGCAGAGGTGGACAAATTCTTGATGGTTTCTGGAGGTAGGTGGGATTGTGAAGTATTCAGATCAGCCATGATTTTACTGAATGGCAGAGGCCAACTCCAGCTCCTAATTCATATAATTATCTAATCCTTCACACTGCATCCTACTATTTACAAATGTTATATAATGCTTTGGCAAGACCATACTTGAATCACCGTGTTCAGTTTTGACGTTTCCAACTGCAGACGTAAGTACGTAAGAAAAAGAAAGAGTAGATGACCATTTGGCCCATCGAGCCTGCTGTGCTATGCTAATAAGATTACGGTTGATCTTCAGCTTCAACTCCAATTTCCCGAGCGACCTAAAATCTGTCTTTTCACAACTCTGAAGTAAAGAATTCTAAAGAATTCTCTGTCTGAAGAAATTTCTCCCCACCTTGGCTCCAACTGAGCAGCCCCTTACCTTGAGGCTGTGCCCTGACATTTCAGGCCAGCCAGGAGAAAAATGTCAGTCTCTATCAGTAATCCTTCTTGGGCAATCTCCCTAGATAGGGGATGACTTGCTTCCACTCCAGTTCAATGAGTTCAGAAATGGCTGATAAAGTCCAATGTACAATCTGCAGACTGTCAAGTGGGCTAAGTAGTTTTGAGAGGTCAGGCAAATGAGTTGTTGGAAGATTTGTGTGCCCTCTCCAACAGGATCACAGAATCACATAGTACAGAAGAAGCTCAATGGCCTATTGAGTCTGCCCCAACAAAAGCTACTCTACTATTTTGCCTTTCTTGGCTCCCAATGTGTTTGGTATCGCCCCCCACAACTGAATGAACTTTCTCTATTTTGCTCGGTCACAAACAAAAGCTCCCATGAATTGGCAGGATTGTTTGATGTCTTCAGGGATTCTATAAAGACATTCCGAGATGTTTCCAATTAACTTCCTACTAAAACGAAGATTCAAGTAGAGTGGTTGTTTTAGGCATCTGGGAGTCAGGCATATCAACATACTGAAGAAGGGTCACAGAACTCAATGTTAACTTTGCTTTCTCTCTACAGATATTGCCATACCTGCTGAGCTCTCCAGCAATTTCTGTTTTTGTTGCAGATTTCCAGCATCTATATTTCTTTATCTTATACAATTTGGACAGTACCCTTGCCACGTTTACTTCCAAGTGTTTTACTTTAGAATACATATCCTTTAAAACATTACCTCATGCATTGTTAGATCCGAAAAAAGAATGACAAAATTCTCTTCCACTCGCACAATCAGTCCTGTATCTCCTTCATATCGCCCTGCTATCACCTTCACATGGTCTCCCATTTTGAAGTATTTGCGTAATTCATGAGCTGGAAATTCTAAAGGATCCTGCAAACAAACAGATATTAAATGGAGTCATATTCATCATCAATCAATTGATCAACTTAGACCTAGACAACGGTGAGATTTTAAATCTTTCTAACAAACAAACTAACTTTTCTTTGCTTGGCAATTCAGAAGTTGAGTATTGTTGAAAAGAAGATGAAATACTGTCAAAGCTTTTCACTTTGCACTCGTCAGGACAGATTCAAGAATGCCAAATTACAAAGGAAGCAACAATTTGTTCTACATAAGAAAAGGGGTCAGCTCAGTTGGTGAGTCTGCTCTGATTGGCCAAGGTGTTACCACGGAGAATGGACCATGGAACCGGTATCCCTGAAGATTGTTTAATTCAATAAAATGGCTGGAGATGTTTCGTTTTCCCGCGGAAGACAGATCACTGTATGAATATTCGTAATTTTTAGCAAGTATAAAAGTGTGCCTAACTAACAATTGTAAATTGGTTGTTAGTGCAACTCATAGCACACAAAGTGCTGTCCAATCATAAGATCACGATTAATGTTACAAATTATATTCCAAGCATGATCAGTACTCTACCCGTTGCAAACAGTTGGAGGGGCATCCTGTTCAATATAATGACAGAGTCATCATGGACATATGGTCTACGTATTGTCACCTCAACAGCAACGATATTTTTCGTTAAACTGAGATGCATTCTTTCATTTGTTAGAAAGCTGAAGTTTAGTTCCTGTTTTTTCTTCTCAATGTCCTCCCTTTTCCCTAATACACACCTTTTAATACTCCACAATAACAGCCAGGATCCATGCACGAGTCTCAACAGTGAACAGTAGTTTACAGAATGAAAAGGGCAGCACAGCTGAACCCAAACTTGGCCTCACCCAGTGTCTGCACAGTCACACTTCTAGCAGGAGCTGCATCACAATCCATTCTTGTTTTACTGGTTAACAGCTGATTAGATCTCTCGCAAGAGTGGATTCTCCCCTTAGATTTGTAAATGGTAAGGTGTTACGAAGTTGTGCAGAGTAATTGTGAATTGGGAGGCAGGAAGCTAGAAGTTGTTTGTAAAAAAAAAATGATAAGGGAGAAGAGTGCATGGTTCCTTTAAGATGTAAAATGCTTTTCTAAGCTTAGAGATTTATATTTAAAAATTGTCTGTGTGTAAGCTGAAGATGTGCAGACAGTTCTGAAATTGAAATGTGTATCAATTGACTGTGTGATTGGAATCCTTAGGCTTGTTTTGATGTTTTGGCAACTAGATGGAATCAATTAATCTAAACCAAGCACTTAGCGAATGAAAGCCAATTGAATTTAAATCTGATGGTTTTGACAACCTCGGACCAATGTTATTGTAAGAAAAGTAATATGTCATCCAAGGTATACAAGTAGACGGTTTTTGAAAATCTGTGTGAGAGCGAACGGCCATCTGAGAAATAAGCATTTAGCTCTCACAAGAAATCGCTAAATTCTCTAAGAAAGCACCATCTATTCATAAAAGGTACCATGGCTCTTCTAGCTAAGAGTCCTCACAGAAGACTTCACAGAGAAAACATCCCTGACAGCCGGGTCAGTGGAAGAAAGGCGTTTATGACTTGAGAACAGAAGAAAGGCACTTGGACTTTGAGAGACTAAGTTTTAATTTATTTTCTTATTGCTTGGGTTTATATAAATGGGACTTGTGTTTATTGGAACAACATTCCAGTAGAATTTAGTTCAGTTAGGGAATAGTTAATAGTTAAGGAAGAATTGTTCAGTTTGTTAGTAATTATGTTAATTTTTTCACTGCTAGGGTTAAATAAATAAATAAATTCACTTACAAAGTGAATATCAGATTTTCTTTCATTTAACATCCCCTTTTCCATAATTCAGGTCATAACTTACTTCAGGACTAGTTTTAAATTAACAGGTGATTAAACATGCTAGATTTGTTTAAATTGGCTTTGGCTGCTATAGCAAGTGAACAGATATCAGATGGAAACAACCAAAAATCATGTGCAACGGATTGAAAACCTTTCCTTACTGACCAGTAGAGATGATTTGATTCTCAAACTATATTCCTCCATACCTTCAGATCTTCATGTTTGGGTAAAATTGTGATCTTGTTGCCCTCCACACTCAAGATTTTACCCTGCAGGTTTATCAATTCACCTTCGCAAACTTCTACATTATCTCCAGGTTGCAGGTTGTGTTCTCTTTCTTTGCCTGGAAAAAGAGACAAAACATCATACTTAAGAGTCAATCAAGAGCACAAGAAGTCAAACAGCCGAAGTATATTATCTCGGATATCCCAATTCTTCATTACAGCACCCAACTCCATTTTTAACATCGAAATGTCACCTCCCATTTGGTTGATAATGCCAAATATTTCTAATATCAATTTCCACGTTACTTTTCATTAGTTTAAATTTCTATATTTCTGTAATATGCTAGCTTTACATGATTAAAGCTATATTAAATAAGAACGAACATATTATTCCCATTAGTACTACGTACTCAACCTCTAGGCACTGTTTGAAAGGATTGTCAAGTTAAACAATTACCCGCAGTATTACAAAGGCCCATAAAAACACAACACAAACAACACTTCCATAGACAGTTGGTAAAATGTTCTTTAAATTTCTGTAGCAGTAAATATGGGCACCAACATACCTTTTACAGCACTTACAAAATGATTTTTTTTTAAAATGGCAGTTGTAGTCGGATTTTTTGAATTCCTGCCCATCTCCTTCAACTATCAAGTTGGGATAATACATTTCCATTGCAACTAAATGTCCTTGAGAACTTTTATGACTTAGCCATTCTCCACATATACTGCTGATGAGTGTTCTCTGACTGTATGACTGTAAGTCATATTGCTATATTGCTGAGCCCAGTTTTGCCCCGCACTCACTAGCATGGGTCAGCAGTTCCAAGAACAGGACAGGAAACTGCATTTAATTTTCAATCTTTCTAACCCAAAGGCACCAAGGCTAATAATTTTACAAATTCAACTAGGAACAGTGAACCAGACACACATTACCAGACTGAGCACTACACATGCAAATGTAGGAATGCGGGGAAACCAAATTAGAAATCACTTTGAGGCAACAAAATACAAACATGTCGGTCTAAAGCTCTGAAGCGAACAGCTGATTTCTCTCTTGCACAAAACAAGTACCTGTTGATTCAGTCACAACCTCCAGGTCAATGCCCTCTGGTTGGTCCTCAAACTTTTCAAGCTCAGAAAGTGTGGGTTTCACTCCTTCAGTAATCTGTAACATGCAAAGAGTCACTCCAGTTATTCCAAGAAATACAAACCATTGGAGAAATAAGACTGAAGGCTCGAGGTGCCTTGATGCTTGATCACACGGTAGAGTGGCCACACACTGGGTTCTACTCTGAACCAGAATGCCACAGCAAAGTAAAAGGTTTTCCCAAACAGTAAATTTCCAAAGGCAAGGACATTCATCCCACACACATCCCAGCATCTGAATCAGACAGGAATTGGTGAAAGTGTAGGAGCACACCCAACTAGCACCCTGGTGACAAAAAAGAACAAATACACTATGATAAAACTTCTGCAAAATTCTATTTAGAAGACAGAATTTCACCTAATGCTTAACATTGCAAGAATAAATTCAATCAATTTAATCAGAGATTAAACATCTTATTATCTAAATTCTATACTCTACCTGATTTTCAAAACCAACCCTTCCTGACAGGTGGCATGAAAGTAAAGAAATGCAGGCCACATAAACTGAAGTATCCAGATGTACCAGGTAAATGAGGCTTACCTTTGAGTGCACAAAATGTGTGATGAGACAGGTGGTGGAGTTAATGGATTGGGAAAGCAGAGAGAGAGTGAGAGAGAGAGAGAGTGAGAGAGAGAGAGAGAGAGCGCGAGAGCGCGCGAGAGAGAGAGAGAGAGAGAGAGCGCGAGAGCGCGCGAGAGAGAGAGAGAGAGAGAGCGCGAGAGCGCGCGAGAGAGAGAGAGAGAGAGAGAGATAGAGAGAGAGAGAGAGAGATGGACCTTATCCACCGTATCACTATTACATACTTTGTAGAGACTAGAAGATCTCCTATGTTGCTCATGGTGTGTCAGAAGATACGTAAAACATCAGGTTGTAGACTTGCTCGCCAAACCAGCGCGTTTGATTGCAGACGTTTTGTCACCCTATTCGGTAACATCGTCAGTGCGGCTCCAGTGAAGCAAGTCTATAACTTCATCCACAACCCAAGCTACAAATCTTCTCAAAAACTTTAAATAAGTAAAACAAAACGTGGCAGAAAAGGTGTTGCAATTTCAGCAGCAAGGAGCATGACATTTACAGGACATTCCTGCTGTATCAAAGACCATTGCTAAAGCATTTAAAATTGTGACAGAACTGCGTTAACATCCATCAAAGATTGGGAAAATAGCTTGTTTCATGTCAGGTAGCTTTTGTTTTAGATAATATAGTTTCATGCATTTTTCAATTACACTGCTAACTGTGCATCAATGCAAAAACAGTCAAGTTTCAATTAATCATCCACACGATATGTGCAAAGCAAGTAGTCACCACAGGAAGTAAGCGGCTTTGGAAAACTTTGAAACGTGCACGTCAAAAACATAATTCCAAGCCACACTACTACAAAAGATCCCAGTGGATGCATTACTTACCACTGCAGACATGGCAAAACTTTTGAACAAGAATCCTTTTCTGCTATAGCGGTTGCCCTCGAATATAAGAAAGTCTCCATCTGTGGTCACGTCTCCACCCAGCGATCTGTGAAATTTACAATTTCAATTCAAACAAATCAATTAGACATCAAATAGAATGCAACAAACTTAATAAGGTTGCAAAATCTAAATAGTGCTCAGGTTCATAGAATCCCTACAATGTGGAAGCAGGCCATTCAGCCCATCTAGACCATACTGCCCTTCTGAAGAGCATCCCACCAAAGACCTATCCCTCTCTACCTTATCCCTGAAACCCTAGTTCCACCTAGTCTGCACATCCCTGGACACTGTGGGAAATTTAGCAAGGCCAATCACCTAACCTGCACATCTTTGGATGGTGAGGAAACCAGAGCACCCAGAGGAAACGCAGGCACGGGGAGAATGTGCAAAATCCATACAAAGTTGTGCGAGGGTGGAACTGAACCCAGATCTCTGGTATTGTGAGGCACAGAGCTAACCACTAAGCCACCATGCCGCCCTATCATTCTGTATGATCTTAAATTTAACTATTGCTTTGATTAGATAATAAGCATCTCAAATAACTAAATAATAAGAATGCCACTGAAGACCTGTCATTAAATGACAATGCAAAAGTGAAGGCTGAAGCATTAGCATTCACCTAAGGTCAGAAGTGCTGAGTGGATGAACTATCTCAGTGTCCTCCTGAAGTTCCAATATTACAGACGTCAGTCTCCAGCTAATTCTATTTATTTCTATTTGATAACATTTGATGGCTGAAGGCACTGGATGCTACAAAGGCAATGGGCCCTCAACAACATTCAGTGACTATACTGGAAGTGCATGTTTCAAAACTAGCTGTGCCCCTGGTTAAGAGATAGTAAGAACTGCCAATGCTGGAGCCAGAGATAACACAGTGCGGAGCTTTTTTTTGCAGAATTCAGAACAGTGGGAATGGATATTAGGGCAGTTGTATGCTCCTCCTGTAGAATGTGGGAGGTAAGGGTCACCACTAGTGTCCCCACTGACTTCATCTGCGGGAAGTGCACCCAACTCCAGCTCCTCGGAAACCGCGTTAGGGAACTGGAGCTGGAGCTGGATGAACTTCGGATCATTCGGGAGGCTGAGGGGGTAATTGAGAGGAGTTACAGGGAGGTAGTCACACCTCAGGTACAGGAAAAA